GCACACACTCACACACGCACACACTCACACATGCACACGCAGCCAGCCGTCGCCCTCATCTCCGCACCCGCGCCAGCCTCTTGTTACAATGCTGGGGAAGATGAATCGAACCTTAGCATTTTTTGAGGGCAACTAGGAAGTGCAAGTGGTGCGACTAACAAGACCTTGAAACATAAAGAGTGGCGCACTATTATGCTATATGTGTTGACCAACCTATCCGAAGTAGAGTCATACATGCTGTAAGTTCTCAACAAACTTTTTCTCAAGTAGTCACAATTCTGTGTCCAACTCTCTTGATTCTCGTTGGTACAGGGAATTTCATGAACAATTCTGGCATGAATCAAGGGAACCTATCCCGTAGGAAACTTTGACCCTTCTTAGAGAGGGTGCGGGAAATGAAATGCCCGATTTCATTTCTTGGTTCAAATAGAAGGTACTATCCAATTTAGCTCGTACTTAGTTTGACATTACAAGTTGCTCATACGTGCAACTAATATAACGAACTACCCAGCTTAAACTTGTAGGGACAAACCGATGCGTCTATGAGTGCCGAGTTGAGACAGGTTACCGATGGTTGTGCCTATAGGGTCAGGTCATTTGCCGGTTATGACGTGAATGGATATCGCTTTCAGACAATAAGCCACGAGCAGAGTTGGCCCAATCGAAGAACCACAAATACCAGAGTTTTTACGCAAGGCTTAGATGGGGTTGAGTATTATGGAAGAATTGAAGAAATATACGAACTCATGTTTCATGGTTGCAAACCTCTTAATTCCGTTATATTCAAATGACATTGGTTTGATCCTGAAGTAGTGAGGCGGACCTCTAATCTTAGGCTAGTCAAAATTCGACAATCATCCGTCTTACCAGGAGACGATGTCTATATTGTGACTCAACATGCCACACAAGTTTATTATCTCTCATATCCATGCCAAATTGTAGACCGTCTTAAGGGTTGGGATGTTGTGTACAAGATATCGCCACACGGTAAACTACCTGTCCCAAACAATTAAGATTACAACATAGACCCCAACACATATGACGGAGAGTTCTTTCAAGAAGATGGACTCGAAGAGAGTTTTGAGATAGACTTAGCCGAAGCTCAGGGTATGGAAGTAGACAATGAAAGTGGTGCTGACGAGGACGTCGGAGAGAGGGTTCAGAATGTGAAGGACTTAGAATTACTTCAGCGATTACATCTAAGCAATGACGGTAATGATGACATTCCTCCTTCGGAGCACGGGGATGATTGTATCGATATGCGTGATAGTGATGATGAGACTTATGATCCAGCTAATCCCGATCATGATGATTATTTCTAATATATGTATGATCCGTGCTAATTGATTTATTATTTGTCATACCATGTTGTTTTTCTAAGTATGCTTTGTTTATTTTGCATCTATTTTGATGTATTATCAATGCTAATTGGTTTACTCTTTTTAATTGCAGGTGATTGAACAATGGTGGGCGACATAAAGAGGATAACATCGCTTTACTCAAAATCGGCAGCGATGCGTAAATGGTCCGATGCAGCTGAGGGGTTCGGGAAGAGACCTCGAGGTAGACCTAGGAGTCGAGGGAAGGGTGAAAGCAAGACGAGGCCACCATCGCCTATACCTTCGTCGCCGTCTGAGTTACCTTCCGCTCACTCATCCTCTAAGGAGGAGGAGGCAGGGGTGGAGGAGGAGATAGGGGTACCTCTTCCTCTACTTCGTCACGTGTGAGGTTGCGAGGTCCCTCGATCCTCCCGAGGCGACCGATAAATCTTGAGAGATGCCCGCTGATTGAACCTGACGGAGATAAGTAAGTAACTTTAGATGTTGTCACTAATTTTTCGTTTGATATGTTCAAAATTACAATAGAAACTAATAATTTATCTTAATCACTTGGGCAGGGGTTGGAGGAAGATCGATGGGGTGATCACACACGCCATGTGAACGGCATCCTTGGTCTTTTGATCAACGAAAAATTCTCTAGCCTGGTGCAGTTCGGCAGAACTATCGAGCCGGCCTACACGTGGGCCCACTATGCCGCCGTCCCCAGCGCCCCTCATCGGGATGGCAGGGTATTCGCCAACAAGGCGCGGCGTGTCAAGGCCTAGCTTTGGGCAAGTCTTTCTCGCACTACATTGCTCAATACATCGCATTGATTAGACATCCTTAAATAATGACTGGATACATCACGTCTATATGCAGGATTTCTTTAAATGCGAGAAAGGATACGAGGCCAAGGCGGATGCTGTGGCTGACAAAGCCGTCAAGAAACTCGTCAAGGACATGCACTACGAGGCGCGCATCCAGGCCGTGATCCAATACCACGTGGAAATTCTTAGAGTGAGGCTCCCTAAAAGTGCGGTAAGAATCATGAGGCTGACCCCGAAACAATACCTGAAGGTAAATATAGAACATTAATACTTATTTTTTCTAAGATTAATTACGCTTAATTTCATCTTCTTATATGTCATATACTTGATGATGTAGGTGTCTCCGTGGTGGTGCGTCTATGTTCTGCAGTGCTGGGCCCGGATGGTGAATAGGTGGTGCGACCCCATATGGGAGGAGAATCACAACACTTGCCAGGAGCGACGTTTGTTGATGTCGGGTGCATCACACCATCAAGGCAACCTCAACCTCTTAGAATACGCGGCTAGATGGGTACGTGAATTCATTTCTTTATTCTAACGCTCAACTCTGCATAATTTCTAATCATATTGCTTTTTTTGCAATCGACGGCACATGGTGGCGAGCCTTGCTCCCAGTTTATGGCATATGCTTTGGCCCACAAGAGCAAGGCGACGATCGATGTCGCTTAAAACCCGAAGGACCTGCCCTTGGCGTGCAGCAATGAGTCCATCCACAGCCGCCTCGATGGATACACATCGATGGCAAGGGCGGTCCATGGCCTAGCGTATGATCCGAGCGCCCATGACCTTGATGGAGAAGTGGTCATGAGGGCGGGAGGAGGAAAGAAGCATGGCCGGTTCTGGATTGGCGACGGCACAATCAACATAGCCAGTACTCCCACTCTCTCCCAGATTCGAGTACGGAGCACGAGTTCCAGCCCGGCGATACGCCCACGGCCGGACTCTACACGGTTCCAAATGAATGCACTCCAGATTATTTCTATTTTATTCATCGTTCATTGATTTTTATATACTTTTGCATTGCATTGTAACATTGGGATAAAATATTGTTGGCTCAGTTGGAACAAGAAACGAGACGTCGGGAGGAGCTAGAGGCGAAGATGGAGGCAGCGCGGCAGAGGGCGGAGGCAGAGCGGCAGAGGATGGAGGCAGAGCGGCTGCAGATGTTTGAATATATGAGGGCTGTTTACGCTGCAATCGGTCAACCTCCGCCACCGAAGTCAGTCCCTCCTCAACCTGCTCAAAATACTGTTTCAGGCACCGTGAGTCACTTTACAACCTTATAATCACTGTTTTTAGTTTATGCAGAATTAATTTTACAAAGATGCCCAGACACTAGAAACTTAATGACTAATGCTATATGTTTGTTACCAACTAATACTTAAGCAATCATACTAGAGCACAATGCAACTGAGAAGATATTGCTGATAGTTGCAAGGGTTATAGTAGTTAGGCAGCAGATAGACCATACGTGTTGTTCAATTTTGTCTCACACATGCAATCTCTTCTCCTTTGTGCAGAATCAATCGGGGCATCAAATGAGCCTCATGACCCAGCGTGGTCGTAGTGGAACCCGTGGCCTAAGTGACTACTTGTGATTTTATTTGCATTTGTATTTGTGAATTATATGTGACTACTTGTGATTATTTGTGGTTGTGAATGAACCTACTAGTGATTCTGAAGTTTATTTACATTTATTTGTTGTCGATATATCTATATGAACTGTCTGTGATGCTTATTGTGAACTATGTGTGATGCATGTAATGTTTATTTGAGTGGGGTATGTTATACGTCACCGAACAATAAAAACAGGGAATATATGGTCGCTTTGCCGAGTGTTACACTCGGCAAAGAGGTCTTTTGCCAAGTGTCAAGGTAAAAACACTCGGCAAAAGCGTACATGTTGTAAATTTCTATGCATTCTGGGACTAAAATAGCTTCTTTGTCGAGTGTCTGCGCTGTGACACTCGGCAAAGAAGCCAACATTTGTACGTTTTGGTCCAATCTTTGCCGAGTGTCCAGTATTTGACACTCGACAAAGAAGGCAGGTTTGCTGAGTGTCCGGGATTTGACACTCGATAAAGAAGGCATGTTTGGCTAGTGTTAAATTCCGGACACTCGACAAACGCGCCGTGACCGTCTCCGCGCCGTCGCGTTACTTTTTTTTCGCCGAGCGTTGGTTTCAGCTCTTGGTAAAATGTTTGCCGAGTGCCCGATAGAAAACACTCGGCAAAGAGACGTTTGCCGGCACTGTAGATGTCTTTGTGCTGTTTGTCGAAGTGTTACCCTCGGCAAATCCTTTGTCGAGTATTTTATGAACTTTGCCGAGTGACTGTGGCACGTGCCATCATTTCCGGTAGTGTGTGACGTGGAACCAAAGACGCCCTTCGTCCGGCTGAAGCACCCGACCTTTTACGTTTCTGTTTGCCGGTCGTTTTCTTGCTTCTGAACACTCGGTTGTTGGTTGCCTCTGAAGTCTGAAACAAAACAACCGAATCCAAGCTAGACAGCCACTCGCATGAGAATACCAGAATCAAATGCAAGAGATACAACAAACATACATACGGCATAGTATGGGCCATGTCAAATAAACATGGACGAAAACACAGAGCTTGTGTTGAGTTACTATCTTACAGCTGGTTTATTGTTTGTACAACCCCAGGCTTATATGAACAGCAGCAGGCCAACGCGGAAGCTCTTGCCCATATCTTGTTCTAGTCCCTCGCAGACGTCCCATGCATCAATCACATCGCATACTATTACTAACGGTGCTGCAACCGACATGTAGTCAGGTACAGCACTCCCATGCAAGCAAGCGGATTGGAACTGCACAACGCGAGTCACTCGTCACAGTTCACCACATGGCGCTGCCCCAGCGGCGCAGCCCGCGACCGCCCTTCTTGGCGCTCACATTCTCCCTTGCCTGATCCATCATCTTCTCCACCAGCTGAAACAGACACAAAAGCCATGGCAAGTTCCCATCAGCGCACTGTCTTGACAAAAGCATGTCGATTTTTACACTGACAACTAGCAAATGATCGAGCATGTCGATTGTTACACTGACAACTAGCAAATTATCGACACTCCGTAAAAGGATAGCGATTGAGGGGAAATTACCATCTTTTTCTTCGATAGCAGAATTGTCATCTGCGAAAAAAAATGGAACAGAGACGTTGTGTCTGATCAGATCAATGCATACTAGATAGGAAAATATCAATGCATAGTAGTACTAGATAGGAAAAGGAGATGATGAACAAATGTTTCGCTTCTCAGTACCTCCTCTGCTCTGAGGCGCTCGTTCTCCTCCTTGAGATGGTTCAGTTCAGCCTCAAGCTCCACGGTATATGCCTGCACCAGCACCAGCATCATTTCAGAGCACACTGAGTTTGTCAATGACACACAAAGAACAAGAAATTGACGAGAACAACTAGCACACCTGCTTCCTGGCGCGTGACCGGGCCGCGGATTCACGGTTCTTGATCATGCGCCGCTGCCGGCGCTCCACGGTCTTCTCGGTGCACCCGTCCTCGGGGGAGTCGCGCTTCCGCGCGCCGCCGCCGCCGTTCCGGACCATGCCTCCGTTGCCAATGCAGTTCATCATCTCCGCCTGCGTCATGGCGCTCATCCCGTCCGACGACCCCGGGCTCACGGCGGCTGCCGCCACGCACTGAGACGGCGGCGGAGGCGGCACCACCGCCATGCCCCCAGGGTACCCGTTGTGGTACCCCATGCCGTCGCCCATCACCGGGTACACGGCGTTGGGCGGCACCGGCGCCGCCACTTGGTACATCATGGGAGCCGCGTCCTGCATGCCCATCGGCCCGGCCGGGACCATGCCGACGGCCTGAGGGCCGTGGCCGGCGAAGGCTCCCCGCACGACGCCGGCCTTCACCAGGAAGTCCTCCAGCGTCATTTCGCCCAGCGTCACTTGCCGCCCGCTGGCCGCGACGCCGCCGCCACCGCTCCCCATCTGGGGCTGCACCACGGCCTGCGGCGCCGCGTTGGCGTTGGCCTGGGAATCCGCCGGGTCCTGGTTGATCTCGGCCCAGACCTCCTCCACCGTCTTCCGGGACAGCGGCGGCGGCAGCGCGAACGACCCCTGCCGAACCAACCCGCTCCCTCCTCCTGCTCCGTTCTCACCTGCCCCCGCCGTCGCCACGGGCATCATCATCGTCTCCCGCTCCGTGCCCTCCTTGCTGCATCCGCCGGTGCCGGTGGCGGCCTGGAACTCCTCGGCGTTCCATATGTTGGCCATGAACTCGTCCATGTTCATGGACCCGAAGTTGCGCCCCGGCTCGCACAGCGAGTTCTGCAGCTCCTCCAGCGTCAGCGACATGATGGACGACTGCCGCGCCAGCGGATCCACCACCTGCTGCTCCTCGGCGGCGGCGGCGGCGCTGGTCCGGGCGCGAGCGCCCTGGTCGCGCTGCTGCGAGGTGACCTCCTGCTCGTCGAGGGCCTTCACGTTCTTGCTCATCTCCGACGCCATATCTCACTCGATCTGCAAGACTCCTTCAGCACTCTGCTGATGCGTTCTTGGACGCGGCAGGCGGCAGGCGGCAGGCGGCACGCGGTCCTTATAGCCTGCCTGCATGCGAAAGCCAGGCGTGGTGATTTTAGAAACGGTTCGGGCTAGATGGGTCACATCTGTGCATGCATCGAGAAAACCCAGGTGCGGTGCCACTGCCGCCGCCGGCTGGTGCTTGTCGTAAGGGCTTCAATAATAGTATAATATAAAGCTAGGCGCGCAGCCGCAGTTGGTGCGGTTCGCTCAGGTCTGATGACTGATCGTCTCTAGCGACTGGACGCTGGATAGACTCTTCCTCGTTTGGATCTTTGCTCAGGGAATTACGAACAGAGGAAAGAGGAAAGAGCGCAGTTCTACGCACTCCAGTGCAGGACCCTGACGACATTCAGCACGTGCTTGTCGTCGGCTTATCTTTTGCCGCACGGGATCAGAATCAGATAGATAGACACTGGCAGTCTTCTACGAAAACTCGGGCTCCTTTTCTTCAGCTTTTTATATGTATTTTTTATATATCAGTGACGTCTGCGTGCTCTGTTGTTCTGTTGTCTGGCAGAAGCCAAATAGCGCGGGTGACGTTGCTCTCCAGCCGTTTCCCAAACGGAACAGGTCACTGCTGATAGAGCGCGAGGAGGCGTGACCATCTGAACCGTTTTCCTACGGCTTCTGTGGGGATACAGCCAACCCGGGCGCTGCGCGAAGCGCGAGATCTGACGAAGCACGCTGTTGACATTTAGCTCGGCCGCCGCGAAGACACCTCAGACCTTAGCGCGGACGTAGCGTGATCGTCTACTCCTATTCAAACTCCAAGGCCGTGCTACGTACCGTCGTCCCTCCCAGTATTTGTATGTGCATGACGTACTTGTCCGGGTACAGTGTACCGCAGAAAGAGAGAACGTAGTACTGGCGTACTACTGCTCCATCTCCAGAATCCATCTGTGTGGCTGTGTCCAGAATCCGTAGTGCAGGGCAATTGTTTTTTTAAGCAAAAGTGCAGGGCAATTGTTGCGAATACATTACTCGGGCCTGGACCGTCTCTGTTCTAGAAGGAAGGCCCACAATATGCTTGTGTATTGTTACAAACTCGCATCTGGTCCCATAAAACCCATGTTGGCCCGTTGTAGGCCCATGAGCAGATAACACTTACCAGAACAATTCTGGAGGGAGCTTACATTACCGTACCTTGTCTGCAGCAGCACCCCCCACCCCAAAAAAAAACGTGCCTATAGAATCATCAATTTATATTTTATACTAGTATTATGGAAAATTTAAGCTTCGGTACAAACACTATAAAAAAGAGAAACCAAGACATGGACTGTTGCAGTACAGTTTTCCATGTCTAAATCTGCAATCCCCAATCATTCCTATGCAGGTTTCTCTTTCTTTTTTTCTTTTCGCAAGATTTTTTGTTCAAGTTTAAATTTTGATGTGCATAAATAATTGCACTATCCGTCCATTCATATTTCTGATCGATTCTCCGTACTCTTTAAGTGTGCCACCATGCCTTGGTTAGGTCCTAGATTATTTAGGTTGTGATTTTTCTTTTGTGGTAACTAGAATAATACCCCACAAGTTGATTTTTTAGAAGAAATTAGTTTGTTCTATATATGTAGCATTACTATATGGTATGGGTACTGTGTGTGTATATATGAGCTTGGCTTGTATGTTATCTTATTGCATCAGATTTTGATAAGGATTTGATAAAAATCGGTAAACTAATGGAAGAAAAGTAAATTGAACATTATAGATCAATTATAGAAGGATAGGACGATTCAACAAATAGTATATGCAGATGGCTTGCACGTTAATAGATTAAAGATTAAAAAGTATTGTATATGATGTAGATGAGGTGGAATATTTATAATTAATAAGGGATTACATGGATACCTTGCATGAAAGAATTAAGTTAGTGAGAGTGGCAAATGATGTGCACCTTTGTAGGAAGAGATTGAACATCATAGGGACTAGCTTTAACAGAGTATATATAAATATTGATATGGATATGAATATGGATATAGATGTTGGGCGTCACCACCCTTGGTCGGTTTAGATACATGTACTGTTTATCTCCTCGTGCTGCTCCTATCCTATATCCTAAAGCAAACGTGGATTCACTTTATATCAATAACAATAAGCAACAGGGCAATGCGGCCAGATTTAATGGAAGTTTTATTCTTATTAAATAAGGCGACACTAGAAAATAGCATGAGCGGACTTTTTCAGAGAACAGAGAGTCGAACTTCCAACCCGTAAGTCGCACTTCAGGATCCCTACCATTACCATTTGGGCTATGCACACGTACGTTCTCCACTTTGTTTAACCTCTCGTAGTTTTTTAAATATCTCATCAAAACCATTTAAACACCTATTATAGGCGAAGGTACATAATTTAGTCCTGTGCAGTCCTCTGTGGTAAACAGCCTTGCTCGGGAGTCCGTCTTCTGTCAATGGTAGAGTCTAAAATTTACGATCGTTCTAGTAGTACGAGTCTTTGATGGATCGAGTAGGGTTTCCTTTCGTCAAAGATTCTTTTCACGGATTACCGGCATGCCGTACGAATGGCACTGTTCACATTGTATAGGCTACCTCGCTCAACTGCAAAGTATGAAAGGAATGGAGGACCAAACATGCAGCAAGAGAAGTTTGCTTCTTCATGAATACAGCAAAAGAGGAATAATCAATAACATAATCCCACCTGCAGTAATCCATCGACGGAGCTAATTTCTACCGAATGCTGCTGTCAGCTCCAATCACGAATTGCGCGGCAAACAGTACCAAACAGGCAAACACCTCGCATTTATCCCAAACGAGCAGAGATAGCAGTGAAAGATGGCTGCATGCTGAAATGGAGGTCGAGAGCAAAGACGAGGCGACGACGCGGTACGTACCTCCTCAGGCAAGGGAGCCACTGCCACCGGAGGCGGCTGCGCGCGCGCGGCGCCGTCTTGCCGGCAGCCGACGCGCAAGCGGCCAAGCTTTGCTCTCCACCTGCCGCGGCAAAGTGCCAAACGAGCCGCCGAAGCGACCGAGTGCTAACCGGGGAGCGAGACCTGCTGCCGCGGGGACGCGGGCATATGTTGGCGTGTGATGGGGGCCGGGGCGTGGTGGGCTCGGGGGGTTGGAATGGATGCGGCGCCGAAACGGAGGCAATTAGCTAGACATGTGCGCTGCCATTTCGCGCATAACTTCTAGGCGCGGCCGCGTGGGGCGAGACGGCGCGCCTGCTGCTGCTCGCCCCCCCTGTCGTTTGGAGTTTGGACGTGTCGGGCTCGTCGGCACGTTGCCTTTCCACCACCAGCAGCAATCGCTATCCTCTTTCCTTTCCTTCCGGGGAAGGGAGGGAGGGAGTCACAGGGAGGGCGATGGACCCCGAGTTCCGAGGGGCCGCTACGGGCCTACGGCTCAGCCCCTGCATGCGGCTTGCTTCCGCCTCGGGGTTTTGTCAGGCCTGCTGCCCATGCAAGCAGCAAGCAGCAAGCAGCAAGCAGCTGGCGCAGGCAAGGCCGCTGCCCACACTCTGCCGCGCGTTTATCTCCTTGCTTTTGCCTTGGACTCTGCCGAGTGGCGCGTCACACAGTGCCACTGCTTCGGGCACAAGCGCTGGTGCACACCGGAGGAACGTTTGGAGTGTGATACACTCTGCATGACCGATTTGCGCCAAGTTGATTTTACGGAAGAACAAGAATGGAAAAAGGAATAATCCGTATTTGAAAAAGGAGCTTAACCAAAAGCTGGGGCATCCCGGCATGGCAGGTGTTAATTCCAACCTTGTCCACGCTCTCTACCCAGCTGCACTGCAGTTCAATACACACCGGTTATTCACACACCTGTTTACGTATTTAAGTATTTTACAAACAGAGGTACTCTCACGGTTTCAGCACAGAAAGGAAGCAAAGGCTCACGGTTTCAGCTGCAGTTCCCCGCGGGTACCACGTCGGCGTGGCAAAAGACATGCATGCGTGCCGGGTGGTCGTAGGAGAGGAGATCGGGGCCAAAACGTACAGGCCGCGAGAGATGGACACGTGCAGGATACGTGCCGTGCCGTGCGGTGCCGCGACGGTGATCCCCACCCCGTGCCTGCAGTCGTCGGTCCAATCTCCGTCGTTCAGTACAATCAATTTGCCTGAGCATCCGTTGTCCGCACCTCCACAAGAAGCAGGTACCCCGTACCCACATCCCGCCACTGCCCCGTCGGGCGCTTGCAGCTTCCCACCAAATGCCATGCCGCTTGCAAGCTGCCGATTGGCACGCCTAGAATGACTTCAGGGAAGGTTTAGCCATTGCATGATGAAATGTACTATGAATTTCACGTAGTTAGGGCGCATTTGGTTTGAGACGGGCAAGATAATTCAGCATTATCGTTCGGCAGGAGAATTTTCTTGTACTCGATAAAGAGCATGTGGCCGATTACTCTTGCAGATCATCGTGCGTGATAAAGTGTTGAAAGTAGAGTTTAATGTAAATTGAACAAGAGATAAAAGGAATGAACGATTGTGTTTACTGATGTGTTGTCCAAATGAATAAATGATATCTGTTCAAGGGATGAGTTCATGCACGTTCACCTCACCGAAAAGGTCCAGTATGATATTACATTAGCACTAATTCTAATTAGCATGTGCCCCCATAGCACTTAGCATATGTTTAATGATACAATTATTATCTACTAATTGATCAACTAATTATATTTCTAACACTTTCCGTTCGACAATCCATGGGCCGAGAGTGCTGGATTTTGTGTTCTGTGGCAGCCTCAGCCAGAGGGGTTGGATTATGCCATGGACATGCTCAGGCTACGAAAGCTCGGTAAGATATGGCCCCAAAACGAATCGTCATAGTAGTGGGCCGTTGCTCGTCACAAATTCCACGGATAATAAAAACTGAAACACGGAGGGTGCTGAATCGAATACACTGTCCAATGCGCATCGGTGTCCCGCTCCGTGCTTCTCCGGTGACGCAGAGCCTGCA